GAAAAAAGTTTTCTGTAAATGAGATAAAGTAATTTTGAGAGCAAATCATTTTCAAAATATAAAATAAGAGTAAGAAGACATTAAATGTGGCATGTAAGCAAGTGGGGGCAGAGAATTGCTAACGGTTCTGTTACAGACACATAAAGTACATAAACAAGTATACCATATTCATTTTTACATGTGTTGTACACAGGCCATCTTCTTTCTGAAGCCCGAACCTTTCCCCTCATACCCATTCCCCAGCGCCTAGCCTGTTGTGGGCGCTCAATAAATATTAAAAAACCAAAATACAAACTGTTGTCAAAAAGTTTGGAATTCACAGAAATCAAAAATATTGTCATTACACTTTAACATTTATTGAGGGTCAACAGCATGACTTAACATATGCATGTAGTTTAGTTTATAATCACATATTAAGCAATCAAATACAATTTTTGTTAACTAAACCTTCAATTTTATTGCACTGATTTTAAATGCAAAACTTTTTCTTCTTTTTTGTAACTTTTACATGCTAAGAAATCAAACCATCATAATTCAAATAATTAAGCTTTATCCAGGAAATTCATTATTTTTAGATATAGTTAACATTCATTTGAAATATGTGATATATCTTCATTAAGTACACATCACAGATTCCAAAAGGACCAGTGTATGTACAAAGAATAAAAGAATCTGATAACGTGGATCAGGACAATGATAAATACACAAAGCTTATAATAGAACTTGGGTTTCACCTACTATTGTGACAATTTTAAGAACTATTACAATGATATAGTGTACCGTTGTTTACAGAATAGCATCAAAGACAAATGAAGATTCTGCAGATGGACACACATTAGCTTGTTTATAAATTGTGAAACACTCATTAATTTCATGCCAAGTTGAATATTTTATAACAAGAAATGAATTCTGACACATTAATGATTCACAGTCTCCAATTTTACTCTTAATAAAATGGGTCCTGTGTTGAAATTTATTCTTAGTGCTTAATAGGCAATTAAATTCTATTTAATTTTCTTTTAATATTTTCTCATGTTTCTACTTAACTGGATTTGGAAGTGATTTTTAATTGTTAAGAGGATGGAAAACTATATTTAATATTTCTGCAATGAAACTTCAACCTAATTATAAGTTTCTGAAGTGTCCTTAAGTATTTAAGTTTATAATGAATGATTTTCCTTAACATTTGAATCTCAGAATCTTAAAAATGAAAACCATTTTAGACTGACTCTAATCCAAAAAGGGAATAACTACAGGGAACATGGTATTTAAAAACTGTTTTGAATAGAAAACTTTTTCAGGAGATCATCTAGTTGAGTTTGCTAATTATAAAAATAAGAATACCTAGGAAAAATTCTGACATTTCTAAATTTACACACATTCTTTGATTCTCACAGGTGATTATTAACTTCCTCTTTCATTTTAAGGATTTTTTTTAAATAAACCCATCAAACCATAGGTGCAATTACTACAATCTAAATTTTCTAATGTCTTTGTTCACATTGACCTTACTATCTGAACTTGTGTACAAGAAAGAGAATCATCTACAAATAGCAGGCAATAATGGTATAGTCAATGCCTACTCAATGATTGATTTTCCTCTATTATTTTCACTTTAAAATAATATATACAGAAGAATGATTTATGCATTTATAAAATGGTCTCTGAAATACTTGCCCATCTTCACTATGGGAAGTCATATTTTGATTTACAAAGAAAAAAACTTAGCATTTACAGACACAGCTCCCTAAAATCTAGATCCTCAATATTTTCTTCTACCTTAGTTTCTCCATGTTTGCACTAATTCTGTGAGTATTTATTGGACAGTTATCAAAAAGCAGGCAATGTTAAAATTTCTTAGAATAGACTTCAAAGGAAGGCTCAAGAGATGCTGTGCATAGGTGTGAATGAGAGAAAGAAAAAGAAAGATGGTTTGCAAATAATGTAATATGTAACTCTTTTATTCACCTGTACATTGTTGGATTTAAATCACTTTTGAGAAAGGAAATTAGCAACAGGGAGATTCTGGGACTCCAACCTATGACTCAGATCTTGAAAGTTATGCTGACTTGTCTCCTTGTAGTATCACAATACCTCAGAATGTTCCTTTAGAGTGACTGAGTTGGCCACCTCCCAACTAGTAACAGTTAAATCTTAATAAAGGTTTCATCTTGAAAGAGAGAGGAAGAATTTGAATAAGATACAGGGAAATGCGATTTAAAAAGGCACGTCAATTTTGTGAAGAATTTCCAAGGAAAAAGTTGACAATTAAATATGGCCAATTAACTGTACTTTGGAATGCAAAGTTCTGAACAAAGATACAATAAACAACTGTATAAAGATGAATTCTCTTATGGTAGCATGTGTTATCAATTTTTACTTTTGCCATTTCTTGGTTATCCACAAAAAGGTAGCAACATTTACTTTGGAAAACATTTTCTAAGAAGTATCCTTATACTTTTAGGTAATTCCTTTCTAAACAAGGAGAAACAATCAATGGCAAGTGTGTGTACATGTGTGTGCACATGTATATTCCTCTAAATTGGAAGAATCACTAAAGTGCTTCTTACTATTCAAAATTTAATCCAGCAAATTTAAGATATTCATAAGAATATTCAAAAAACACACAAATTATAAATTAGAGACAAAATATAATGTTTTCGGAGTTTTACCTGAATTAAATTAGATAAATTTCTAACTTTCAAATGTATGAGATTTAGTATACTAAATTATATTAAAACACAATTCGTTCCCTGTCTCACAATATGCATTTCCCATAACGTAATATTTAGCTCAGTCAATATTTCTCAAATATACTGGTAATATAGACTAAGGTTCAGGAAACATATTAGAGTTGTATCACAAAGTATATCAGAAATCTATTAATAAATATAAGAACCAGAATAATTTTCCCTAATGAAGTTTATAAATGTGAACTTAACTGAATGTCGATCATGCTTTATCAACTAACTGTAGTTCAATGCATTATAAATTTGTTTTATATTATTTATACTTCTGGAGATAACTAAAAACTACATAGAAATAAAAGTACACGATAGACTTAAAAGAATCTTATAAATAAATATTAAAATACTATGATAGAATATGTAAATGTAATTAATTATAATTTATTATCAGAAATATTCTGCCTTATTAATATCTCACAGTATATATTTTTCATATCAATTACTAAAAACCATCATTATGTACACTGTATTTAAATATACTGCTTCTATTATTATTAAAGTTGAATCATATGAAGATATTGTCAGGTAAAATGAGAAACTGAAATGCTTTACTAAGTGACCATTCCAAGAGCCACTGAGAGAACCTCATTTTTCACACAAGCCAAGTGCCTAACCTTTCATAAGATAAAAGGTAATTTAATTAATTAAAAACTAATTATAAGATCATACTAAGAATTACATTCATATCTCTATAAGCTATTTCCAGTATTTTATCTCCTTGAGGAAACATTGTAGAAGTAATAAAACATATCAACATGCAAGTGAGAAAAATGAACAATTAATGTTCAGGTTAATTATCTGTTAGTTACTACTACAGAGTGAGTCTTATATATTTTAGTCAATCTGAATAGGCTGTGACCATGAGAGTAATCTATAAATGCCATCACTAATCTATACATTTAGGCTAGAGGAGAAAAAAACTATGATGTTCAGTGAAATATAAACAACTAGATAATTTATCATATTACTTATTTTGAAATTGATTTTATAAAAATATCCAAGTAAATATTATATGCTTTTATAGGAATTTATGATTTTTCACATTCTATAACATATGTCTTTTAGAGCTACACAACATTTTGTCAAGCAGGCAAGGTGTAATTATCTTCACTTTTAAAAGAAAAATTAGAAACCAAAAATTGCATAAATAAACTGAAATTGGGTTTTAGCTAATACTTTATATTTTAGAGACTAAAATATCCATTTTTCTTCAAAAATAAGTTGACAGAAATACTCTTTGAAGTCAAATTTCAGGTAGTCCCATAAGCTAAAACAAATTGAAAAACTTTTTCAGTGAGGTTTTCTTTTGGTTTATTTTTGAAATTCCCATGGAAATAAATCCTTAACTGAATTTTTAACTTAAAATTGTTCCTGTGAAATGCAAAGACTGAATAATTTTCTTGATAAATTTATATCAAAAATTCTAAATTTCTGAAATTAGGATAATAAAAATCTAATTGAATCTCAAATTTTAGGGGAAGAGCTATTTTGACTTAGTCCTTAACAAATGCTGGTTCTAATTATATTTGTTGTAATACTTAATAAATATAATGATATATAAAAAAGAAGAGTGATAGCAACAATTAAAATTATTAGCATACTTTGAATTCTAAAAAGGACAATTCCATTTTAAATGTCTTAAATTTAGTGTACTATAGCATTTTTCACAATCATGTTCTGGAGTTGTATACATAATAAAAATAAAATGCATAATAATTTTATAGCTTGGAATTTATGACACTGGAATTTCAGAACTCTAGGGAAAATTAATAGCTGAAGTTATAATATAAACACTAATAACTTCCATTTGCTGTTGCTTTTCTTATTTGGTTTAACTTTTACATGTATTTTTCAAGCAGTAGAAATTATTTTTTATAAGAAAATTGTGTCATCCTTTGCATCGAACTATGATCAGGGAAGTGCTATTGAAACCACAAATTGAACAGAATTGTATCTGCAGTTTCCCCAGGTCTCTTCCTTGTTACCAACAATCTTCAGGAATTCTGATTTAATTCAGCAGTACGTGGAATTTCCCTGTCCTAGACTTGTATTCAAAGCTTAGTTACACAAAAGAAATTCAATACCAGATTGACACCTCACATTCTCCCTGACATGGAAAAATATGCAAGGACAGTGATACAAAGCAAAAGATTGAAAGGTTATTGTCTTCCGCCTGTCTGTATCCAGTGCTTGCCTCCTCATGTTGTTGTCTTTCTAAGGAAGATAATGTCAACCTCCTTCATTTTTTTTTACCTTGCTCCACTGTCTTGGTTGTTTTCTCTTCCTTCTTTGCAGGTACAGCTGCAAAGCAAAGATAAGGTTTAAATAAGAATTCTGGAGAGGAATGGTGCCTCTGTTCAAAAAAGCATTTCAGAAATCATCTGACACCAAATATTCGTTCTAAACAAGCTATTTTAAGGCTCTCCAAACATTTCTCATTTCTCAATAATGCAACTGAAACTATTTCAAATCTAATCTTAAAAATTTAGAGAAAAAAAGCAATAATCCCTTGCCTTCTTCTGGGTAGCCTTCCCACAGTCTTTTCTACTTTATTCCTTTGATAAATAAAACTTACAAAGAATTCCACTTGACAGGACAATGATTGATTGACTTACACTCCAGCTTACTGCTGATGTCACTTACTGTTTTGCAAATGTCGTCTAATGCTCCTTTAAATGCAAGCTTAACCTGGTTTAATCAACTGAACAGGCAATATAGCCCTGCTTGAGATTTAGTTAAATATTAAATGAAATCATTTAAAGTACAAGTAACCAAAAGTTAAATAACCATTTAGGTGCTATGTCCTTTACACCATAATTTCTTGAAGCTTTATTCCTCTCCAGCGGTTTCACTGTTTACCTATTTAGTCATCAAAATAGTAGACAATGTTCACACAGACTTAGTGCAACCTAACGGAATAATTGATTCATGTCAGAAACTTCACAGCATACTAGCAATCACTAGATGAAAGAATGGCAAGGAACTAAATATTGCCATCTTACTCTGCAGAAATCACCAAAATCATTTGAAAAGCAATCACCACAGTTTAGTTATTCTTTTTTTAAACTTTTACTTAATAAATATAAATTTCCAAAGTACAGCTTCTAGATTACAGTGACTCCACCCCCCCCATAACCACGCTCCCACCGACAACCCTCCCATCTCCCGCTCCCTCTCCCATCCCATTCACATCAAGATTCTTTTTCAATTATCTTTATATACAAAAGATCAATTTAGTATATACTAAGTAAAGATTTCAACAGTTTGCACCCACAAAGACACACAAAGTGTAAAGTATTGTTTGAGTACTAGTTATACCATTAATTCACATAGTACAACACATTAAGGACAGAGGTCCTACATGGAGAGTGAGTGCACAGTGACTCCTGTTGTTGATTTAACAATGGACACTCTTGTTTATGGCATCAGTAATCACCCGAGGCTCTTGTCATGAGTTACCAAGGCTATGGAAGCCTTTTGAGATTGCCGACTTCGATCTTATTTAGACAAGGTCATAATCAAAGTGGAAGTTCTCTCCTCCCTTCAGAGAAAGGTACCTCCTTCTTTGATGGCCCGTTCTTTCCGCTGGGATCTCACCCACAGAGATCTTCATTTAGTGTTTGTTTTTTTTTTTGTTTGTTTGTTTTTTTTTTTTTGCCACAGTGTCTTGGCTTTCCATTCCTGAAATACTCTCATGGGCTTTTTAGTGGGATTCGAATGCCTTCAGGGCTGATTCTGAGGCCAGAGTGCTGTTTAGGACATCTGCCATTCTATGAGTCTGCTGTGTATTGGGCTTCTCATGTTGGATCATTCTCTCCTTTTTTAATTCTATCAGTTAGTATTAGCAGACACTAATCTTGTTCATGTGATCCCTTTGACTCTTAATTGTATCATTATGATCAATTATGAACTGAAACTGATCACTTTGACTAGTGAGAATGCATTGGTACATGCCACCTTGATGAAATTGAATTGGAATCCCCTTGCACAGTTTAGCTGTTCTAAGGACCATGTGCCCTAGAAGAAGGAGCAAATGTTTGACACAGTATAATATACTCTACTTTTGCCATTTAATTCTTGTATAAATCTGTTCAAATCATTTAACCCTTGGCCTTATTCTTTAAGTTAAAAGTGAAATAGTGCTACAGAGTTGTTTTTGAGGTCTAGGTGAAAATAACTTTGAAACAACCAGTCTGATTGTAAGCACAGAACTCAGTAAACAGGGACCAGCACTGTGGTGCAGCGGGTTAGGCTGTAGCCTGCAATGCTGGCATACCGTAAAGGTGATATTTCAATTCCCTATTGTTCTGCTTCTGATCCAGCTCCCTGCTCATGACCTGGGAGAGCAGTGGAGGATGGCCCAAGAGCTTGGGCCTCCTACACCTATGTGAGAACTTGGGAAAAGCTCCTGACTCCTGGATTCAGCCCAGCACAGCCTTGGCTGTTGCAGTCATCTAGGGAGTAAACCAGTTAATGGAAGATTTTTCTCTTTCTTTCTCTGCCTGTCCCTCTGCCTTTAACTCTGACTTTTAAATAAATAAATAAATAAATATATAAATAAATATTTTAAAAAAAGAATTCAGTGAACAGAAGCTGTTATTTTATTTATCTCTACCTAAAACATAATCATTCCACAGACTAATTCCTATTTGTTCTTTCAATCTTGTTTTAAGAATGGCATATATTTAATAATTATGTTTGAAAACTAAAGAAGGAAAACTAGAAGTAGTAAAAAATTAAAATTGGAAAAATTCAGTTAGACATAGCTATAGAACAAATAGTAAACAGGACATATGTATGCAAAGAAATATCTAAGAACTCAGCTAACAAAGACAAAGAGGTATATAAAGTTATATAAGTTAACAAACATAGAAGAGGGGAGGAGGTTTAACACAACTTTAATTGGATTTAAAAATAAAATGATAGAGAGAATATGGAAAAGGAAATAGAAGAATACAACTAAGATTTATCTGGAATTTAGATATTAATAATATTCTTGAAATACAGGGAATCCAAAATAAGAAAACGATGCAATAAATTAAATTTTGACTCTTCCCTTACACTGTAATAGCAACAATTTCAAATTTACAAAATTCCTTCTGTCTTTTTTGTTCTTTGTCCCATCAGAGTCTCAGAAATGTACTGCTTACATTTTCCATAGCACTTACCATTGTTCCTGACATAGTAAGTGGCTGATGTAGATTTATATGGTGGCTAAATGTACAAATTGACAAAGAGATGAGATGTAGCAATAGTAAGTAACGTGAGTTGAGTTGAGAGAGAAAATAATCAGTTTCTTAAAATTTTGTTTGCAATGATTGCACATATTTGTGGCCATTAGAAATCAGTGTTGGTGATAGTGGTCTTCCTGGAAGAGGGGAGATCTTAAGTGTAGAAAATAGATGTGCAAAAAGCAAAGCAGCAGGAAAGTCTTAGATTTTCCGGGAGGAACATGAACAAGTGCAGATGGAGCAGCTGGTTCCAGAAAGGAACTAGGAGGTTGTATTAGTCAGATTTTCATCATTACAAAAAAAAAAAAAAAAAAAAAATTCCTGAGACAAGCCACTTATAAAGGAAAGATAATTTTATTCGATTCAGTTTTGGAAGCCAAAAGTCCAAGGCATGATGCAGGTTCTGACAAAGGCTTCTAGATGGATGATGGCAGAGCCCATGCAGACGAAGGATCATATGATGATCCAGGAAGCATAGAGAGGGTGGGCCCAAGCTCAATCTTTTACATAAACTGTCTTGCAAAAATCTGAGGGGTCATGTGAAAGCCACCTTCTCCCAGGACCTAAGGAGCTCTCACTAGTCCCCTCCCACTACAGGTTATGCCATCTCCTGAAAGCACTTCCTGGAGACCAATTCTTTAACATACGGGGCTCTGCAGCACATTTACCATCAAAGCCATAGCAGAGATAGCCTAAAAATAGAGGACTGGCCAAGTGCACAATACCTTGAAAACCAAACTAGAGCGAGATTTTCCATACATGCTATAAAGAGACCAGTAAGATGTATGCCACATTAGTCTCTTCTGTGAATATTCTCACTCAAATAAATGCACAAATAAAACCCTGGCAATTTATAATTACAATAGAACCACATGAGTATGTATTCATATTCATAATTCTTTTATTCAGAAAACTCAATATAAATATCATATAGGGGGTACACAAGGGATTGTAAAAAAATGCATGGAAAATGTGTATTATGAAAAAAACTCTGCACTGGTTTTTTGAAAATTTTGCATCAACATGAACTTATTTTCTAGTTCTATTTTCCCATGAATTTTTTGAAGTCCTTTCATATAGTTTTCTGATCCTCTAAAGAACAAATGGCTGTCAGAAAGCCAATGGTATGTGACTTGCACACAAAGACCAGGTTTTCTTTTCAATGATGAATTCATAATTCCTGGCACTCAGATTAAATTAAAGAGATGGGTTTCCTAAAGCACTGTTTTCTTGTTCCTCAGAAAAGGTCACTGAAAAATGCTGATGATCTATGCTTAAACGATGACATTTTGCATAAAATGTTGATCCTCTGATTTCTGGTTCTAATGTAAAATTCATTAAGCTGAATTCTAGGGAGAATAAACTATAAGAGTAAGTAGCCCATTTAAGTAAGTGCATTTTCAAACTTCTTGCAGTCAAAAGAACTGGCTCAATTTCTCTTCTTATCCATGGTGTACCTTAAATGTCTGTTGGTTAGAGAAGAGATTTTCTTTCCTTTATATTTTGAGGGATATACTTTAAGAAGGGAGAGAGAGAGAGGGGTAATGAAGGAGTAAGGGAAGGAAGAAAAGCAAGAATGAGGAAGAAGGAAGGGAAGAAGGAAGGAGGGAAGGAGGGAAGGGGGGAAGGAGGGAAGGAGGGAAGGAGGGAGGGAAGGAAGCAAGGAAGGACAACATTTTGTTGCACTCCCTTCAGAGGTCACAACTAAAATAAAAGAAACAAAGTATAGTTACTTTTTTTCTAAGAATGCAATACCCGGCTTAGGGTTAGTGAAGCTAAACTGAAAAGTGGAAATGTTATTTGTATTTGTTCCAGCCTTTCATCTCATTACTTTTTTTAACTTTTATTTAATGAATATAGATTTCCAAAGTACAGCTTATGGATTACATTGGCTTCTCCCCCCACCAATGACTTCCCTCCCACCCGCAACCCTCCCCTTTCCCACTCTCTCTCCCCTTCCATTCATATCAAGATTCATTTTCAAATTTCTATATATACAGAAGATCTGTTTAGTATACATTAAGTAAAGATTTCAACAGTTTTCACCCCCATAGAAACACAAAGTGAAAA